TGAATGCAATAGATATGTCTCATTCACTGAAGTGGTTAAAACTGCTCAGGCAAGTTGTCCAGAGAATAGTGGGTGAGTCAAAGGTGGAGAAACCTGTGCTGCAGCCTACCCAACAAACCCACACCAAATAACATTGGGCATCTGGTCTTGAAAAGCAAAGATCTGCCAGGGAAAGATGAACCACACCAGTCAGTTTTTAAATATCTGGTTACACTCAAGAGCTTTAGGAAAATAATGTTTAATATGAACCTAATTTAAATTTTTTCTTTTGTCCTAATAACTTTATGAGCATGAAAAGGGGACAAAGGATTGTAGACAATTGGCAAAACATAATATTAACCTACATTTAATAGCCTTGAGAAGATCAGTCTTTTATTTTTTTCCTTTTAAGATCATATAGAGTTATTAATAAGGAAGCTCTCAGTTGTCAAGCCAACAGAAAGTGGACACTGGGCTGGAGGGTGAATAGGAAAAGAAAATGTCCAGGAAAAAATAAGAGTCATGTTCACCTCGAGACTTCATCTAAACCTCAAAGGATCCACAGCTGCAGTTTAAGAATCATTCACAAAGTTTGTCTGAGTGAAACCATCTGTGAAATTGCATATTTCAAAGTCATCATTTCAAAGAAGGCTCTAAACGTGGAAGCTGAAAATATATTCCTAAGGTGAACTTCCTAAAGTCAGAATTGCCTTGCAAGCATCATTTTATATAAAAAAGCAGTCAGGTATAATGAAAGCCGAGATAACACGCTATATTAAATTGCTTTATTTGTGTACCACGTATCTGTGTACCATCAGGTTAGGGCTGAGGTAAAATATAATTTTTAATTTGGTATAATTTGTGTCTTTGAAGGTCACTCCAGTGTGAACTACCAGCCCCAGGAGACGCGCTCTCGTCTGTCAAAGACCGTGGACCAGGTTCTTCGGGACAATGTGGCGATGCCGCACTACACGCGCTTCATGGAGCTCAGAGGAGCAGATCACCTGGTCCGCTTCTGGCAGGAGGCGGAGAGTTTCCGCTCCACCAGCTGGTCGTGTGTCCGCGCTCACAGTCTAAACTCTGTCAAACACAGCTCTTTGGCTGAGCCTGTCCCCACCTCCCCAGACTCCTCTGACCCCTTTGAGCTAGCACACGCTAACACGCTAACACATCAGAACAGCAGCGACAGCCTCACAGAGCAGTGGGAGCGAAGAGGTTCCTCCAGCTCTGAGACAGGACTGAGACCAGGCACTCCTCGAGCTCAAACTCCCAGCAAGAACATCTCCTCCAAAACAGGCACTCCCTTTAAGGGTCAGACCTCCAGCACGCTACGGGACCTTTCCGACAAACTCATGAAAAGTAGGCTTTGACACCCAGTGAGAATTATCTTCAGGAGTAATTAGTTAGTTATTATTAGAGAAGTACATGGTGGTTAAGCTAAATAAAATGTTTCAGCACAAGGCTGATAGTCACCTCAGATGATTCCTAAACTGCTTTTGTGTTTCTTTTCAGGTATAGAAAAGGATGCTGTTACAATCTTTACTAAGTACGTCTCCCCTGATGCTGCACGACCCATCCCCATCACTGAACAAGTTAGGAATGACATTGTTGGTCAGTAAATGTGACATAACTTTGAAATAGTATGTTGTTTTTAATGATAATTTAAAGAGTGTTTTTTACTCTCATTTATAGCTAAGATATGTGGTGAAGATGGGCTGGTGGATCCCAACAGCTTTGTTATTGCACAGTCTGTCGTATTCAACATTATGGAGCAACAGTGAGTAACTCTTTCTCATATAGCTGTTATTGCTTTGTCTTGAATGTTCCACAATATGGAATTAACTATACTGGTATATATTTTGTCATTGAATAACACATGATTTTACTGCTAAGAAATACTTCAGATCTGATGTGTACCTTTATAATTTAGCCTGATGTCATCAGCTGCGTGTCTTCATAATAATGTTTAAATTGTAAGTTTAATATCAAACTGAGGAACATGCTAGGCAAAGCATTAACATCACCTTGGAGTCATGCGGCAGCCCATTCACCAGAAAAGAAAAGTTATGTAATCAAAGTTAGTCCTGAATCTATTGGCATTCAGACTGAAGTTGTACTAAAGGACTTTTGTAATTTTATCTCTTAGGTTCACACTGACTTTTCCTCTTGTCCTTTCATTTTAGGCACTTTAGTGAGTTCCTGCGGAGCCACCATTTCTGTAAATACCAGATTGAAGTGTTGACGAGTGGCTCTGTGTTTCTGGCTGACATCTTATTCTGTGAGTCAGCGCTCTTCTACTTCTCAGAGGTGAGTGAGCCCCGGGATCCTTACTGCATTTTATATCTTGCTTTTATATCTATGGTTTATTATTAATGAGTTTGACTTTTGACATTACACTGTTTTATAGTATAGACTGATATGTGATATGTGTTTTTCTATCTAGTAGTTACTTCATTGTCATGGCTAGATGCTAAAATGTATTTTGTCACTCTGAACTTCTGTGAGTGAAATGACATGACATGTTGTATCAAAACTAAATGTATACTATGTGGCCATGAATACATTTCCTAAATCAGGAAATCAATACATTTTCTAAATCTGTCGACATAATACTTTCTATATACATTTCCTCAGTACGTCAAGAAGAAATTGCTGAGTAATTTTATTTGCCAACCTATTTGTGGCTATATTTTATATAATTGCATAGAACACAAATGTAGAAAAACTGTATTTCTTGTGGTAAATGGATGATCTGTGCAACTTGTGAAAACTGTGTTTTCTTTTATACAAATACATTGTTAGAACATTACTTTACCAAATAATAATGTTTTTTTTTTTTTCAATTGCAGTATATGGAAAAGGAGGAGGCCATGAATGTGCTGCAGTTCTGGTTGGCTGCAGACAACTTTCAAAACCAACTGGCTGCAAAGAAGGGCCAGTACGATGGTCAGGAAGCTCAGAATGACGCCATGATACTCTATGACAAGTATGAATTTAACAAAATGTTCTTGATAAGATACTGAATAATAATAATAAATCAGATAATATTACAAATAATTACATTCTTTTGTCCTTAAGGTATTTCTCACTCCAAGCCACAAACCCACTCGGCTTTGATGACTCTGTGCGGATGGAGATTGAGTCTAACATATGCAGAGAGGGAGGGCCACTACCTGAATGCTTCACCACTCCACTCAGACAAGCCTGGACTACCATGGAGAAGGTCAGATTATGCTCTAATCTCACATAAGTGCATTGAATAACAAAATATAGATGAATCAGTGCATCAGTGAGTAGTTGGGGCTTATTAGTCAGAGGCAATAAAGTATAAATAAAGCTTGTGGAATAGTTGCTGTGGAAATGGCAAAGGCTGTGTTGCGATTGTAAAGCTGGGCAATCAATAATATAATAGTAGTTTTGAAGTTCTAGTACAGGAACTGCATGGCGTTGGCCAGGAATTCTGAAAATGAAGATCAGATTCATTATATGTTGTTGTGGAATTTTGCATCTCCTGCATAGACTTAGCAAGGACTCCTCCTGTTTATTGTTGACATTACAGACTTTATCCTTCTTTTGCATTATCAGTTTCCTTTGTCAACTTGTCTCTCAAAAGCGGTATGCTATATACTCATTTTTATCTTTGGTTGATTGTCTCAAAACTGCCCTTCTTAGTTCCTATTTAAACCTCCTTGTGTGGAAGCATAGTCAGGCTTGAATAGCTGGACTGATAGTAAATAAACTTCTCCTGCCTCTCTCTGTGCAACCCTAGGACTTGTTAGGATACCATTTATTTTCCGCAACATGCGTCGTAATTATGTATACCGACAACTGCTGAATATCATAATTTTGTGCACATCAGCGTGGTAGAACATGGACTTTGGTTAAAGCAAGTCAGTCAGTTTAAAGAAAATTGTTATAAAATGTGCTCTCTTTATTGTCTAGTAAATTGTTCTAGACGTCTGGTACTGTAGGTCACCATGGCGTAATTTATCTCATACCTCACTAGTCAGAAATAACATCATGCCCTCAAAGCAGGAAGTAGTAATTGTTTGAGGAAGTTTGATAATTGTTGAGAAGTATCTGATAAACACTGCATTTCCAATACAGAGCTTATAATGGTGAGTTGCAGTGGTGACCATCTATCCAATTTGGTGAAGAAGATTGCTGTTATCTGCGGTAGTCCTAATGTTATGGCTGATTCCAGTTTAATGTATAATAATAATAAAAAAAAATTTAAAAAAATTTCCTTAGACTTCATAAGGAAAGCGTGGAGTGTTTTAAAATGCTGTTTTATAGAACTTTGGTAATTGGTATTTTGTGTTATTACCTGCTTGGCTGCACCTCTTAAACTTTGATCTACTTAAAAGTTTACAAGTCAAATCCCTGATAAATTTGCCTATTATGCTCTGAATAATGTGGTTACCTTAACTTAATGTAATTGAAAAGGAACAGTATTTTACGCACAAAAAGGTCAGCAGCAAATCTTTGAAACTTGCTTAAATATAACAGTAAGAATGCTCATTATTTTGTGTTGTGTCATGTCTATGTCTAGGTCTACATGCCAGGCTTCCTCTCAAGTAACCTTTACTACAAATACCTGAGCGACCTCATCAACTCTGTGCGGGCAGATGAGTTTGTGAATATGGGCTCTTCGGGTCAAAGTGGAGCGGCCGACAGTGAACGCTCCAATTCAAATGCCAATGACAGCTCCCAGACTCAGGTGACCCAAACTCAGACCTCATGCTTATAGACTACACTCCCTTGACATTTAAAACTGTTACATCTCATTACATGTGAAGAAGTGAAGTTTTCAAGGTGCATTGTGTAACTTTTCTGTTGGAGGGTCTGTCAAATGCTTTACTCCACGGAGATGTTTTTTTTTTTTTTTTTTTATGTTTCACATCATGGTATTTAACCTGTCTATCTTCATGGAGACCAAACCAGACCAAGTTACAGGTCAAATCTGTGGAGAGACAACCCCACTCACAGAATACCTGTTTTTCCTGGTATTTTTGAGTTATAAAACCACCTGTAATTGAATAAATGTAAGGTAGAGCTGTTTAATGTCATACTGTGAAATATTCCGAGCAGAACAATGACATTTCCTTGGAAATGAGCAGGCGATGGAGCCTCAACCAAAAAATTACATAACCCGTTAACCCAGTATAACCCAAGACATAATGCTAACAAGGGTCAAAAAGTCCAAATTGCACAATATTTTGATGATTAGTGATTAGGCTAGTAAAAACATTAACAAAATAAAGGTGTTGTCATTTATTTTTATTAATTGCCTGATAACTGTGTTGTCAGGTAGAGAGTACTCACTGCACTTCCTGTATTTTTGTACCTGTCATTTGCACTTCAGCAGTTTTGCTATTAACCTTAAAATGTTGTGTTTCTGTATCTTTTCAGCAAGGTGCTAAGAAGGCGGCAATAAAGATCTTGAAAAATTTTGACGAGGCTATAACAGTGGATGCTGCCAGTCTGGACCCTGAGACACTGTATCAGAGGCCATATGCTGGGTATGTATTCAGTTTAAAGGGCCCATATTGCTGTTTTCTGATCGATGCTCTAATGTTGTTTCCACATCACAGTTATACCTATAGTTGTGTTTTGTTTTATTTACTCCTATTCACCAAACAAGTCCTGAGAGCGTTTTCTGTTTGAGTTCTTCTTTCAAACTGAAAATGCTCTGTTCCACCTTGTGATGTCATGTGCTAATACAGTGCTCCACTGTGTTTTTATACTTACATACACCTTCACTAGAATCATGTAAATCATGTCAGCCCTGGAATTGTCAGTCTCTACTGAGCAAAAGGTAAAAGGTAGTTGTTAACTTTAAAATTACTGCTTCATCACAAGGTGGAGCATTTTAAGCTTTGGCTTAAAATAAAGAGTTACTCAAGCATGTGTGAATGAAACAAAACACAACTCTGGGTATGTTATGATGAGGTAACATGGCTTAAAGCTCACAAGAGTCAGTTTTGCATTATATAGAACCTTTAATAGGGCACTGCATTAGTCACAGTTTGTATAGTGGGAGGATAAAATATGTATTACTGATTTATTTCCTGAATGAGTGGGGTTATGTATTAGTTGTGTCTGAGACTGCTTGTTATTTAACATCATCAACCTCTTCAGAGACCACGCAAGCCATGTTTTTATAAACTCTCACTCAACATTTCCTTCAATTGCAAGGTTAGTTATTGTTCATGTGGATTGTCCTTCATAAAAAAAAATCTAAACTTCAGTGGCAGCTATGACTACAGCAGAAGCTTACCAATAGTGAGTAGTGACTCAACCTGATACCCAGAAGCTGAATAGATAAATGAACCGTAGTGAGAGACAATATGAATACTGAGGCTAAAAACCCTCAAATGTAAACATTATGAAGTAGACATAACAATAACCAACACTTTTTACTAGGGTGTACTAGTATCTTCAAAGTGAGTGGTGATCTGTAACCTTATAACCAGCATCTGAATAGACGAGTAACATAGTGAGTGACAAAGTGGTGTTCTGACATAGTTTTAAATAGCTGTTATAGTATATGCCCGCTAACAAACATACAAACCGTGTGTATATGCATGAGGCACAGGCCTGAGGCACAAGTCCATTCCTCTTCTCTTTTCTTCCTGCTTTAGAAAGATGACGTTTGGGAAGGTGAACGAGCTGGGTCAGTTCATCAGAGAGGCCGAACCTGAACCAGATGTGAAGAAATCTAAAGGTACTATAAGCACACATTTGTCATACTGTTACCTTGCAGTAACATCACACTGGGGGGTATACTGCAATAATGTCTATGGTGGAATGTTCAGCCATTACTATGGTGACATGTTTTAGCAAACCGGCAGATTTTTAGATGGTCTGAAAACTCAAGAAAAAAAAAGCTAAATAGATTTCAACAGCATGTTTTCAAGTGCCTGTGATCAATATGACGATTCATGGTCCCATTTAGGTGTTTCAGATCAGACTGTGTTAAAACAAAGCTCATCAAAGTGTAACTTGAGTAACAGAGCTTCAGACAATGCAGTGCCTACAGTTAGCATCGCACCCCCAGGGAATGTTGATGACATCAGCTGCAAAGTATCCATACTATACTCATTATTCTGCCAGTCTGAACCCTCAAACTGCAATATTGTCTCATTCCACATGCAGTGAAAATGCTCTAACTCTGTGGAATATAAATCTCATGTAGTGGCTGCCTTCACGCCAATAACAGCTCAGAGCCTACTAAAATATTTAAGGACTTTTTCTCCACTGATATTAAATCTGAGGGTCTGTGATAGGAAAGCGCTGTCTATGAGTGTGCTGCAGGCTGTTTAGAGGTTTAGAGGTAGAATAGGAGTAATGACAGCCACAAAGGGAAAAGCCTCTTATTGTGCAACTTCCCAGCTTGGGTCAACAGGGCCATATGAAAGAAATAGTGTTAAATTAACATCCACGTCTCTTCACACTTGGAGAGCTTATTCTTCTGTGCCTTAATGATATCATTCTAAAGCGTTCAACACATCAGATCTCAAAAGTGAGTAAAATGATCTTTATAGAAATCTAGATATCAGTATGGTATGGGACCAAAATCAAATAAAAAAAAAACATCACACCAAGGACATTTACAAATCATACACAACCTGAAACCTGAATGAGAAGGCTCCTTTGAGAAAATCGTCTAAAAATCTGATAAAACTGACACTTTACCAGCATGTAATTGTATTTATTAGTGTAACTTTGCAGATAAATTCTTATTCAAAAATTTATGTTGCGATTCAGCTGTTCATTTTTGTGTTCTGTGATCAGGGTCAATGTTTTCTCAAGCCATGAAGAAGTGGGTTCAAGGCAACTCTGATGAGGTGAGACAGTGGTTAACTTCACTGGCATTGAATAAACTGACACCAGTTTGTTGGTACAAGGATGAAGGTTTTCTCTTTGTGATTGCTGCTTTTAAGGCCCAGGAGGAGATGGCTTGGAAAATTGCCAAGATGATTGTCAACGATGTTGTCCATCAGAGTAACCATGATAGCCCTGTCAAGTCCACAAAGGTACAGACAGTCAGCCTATATATTATTGTCTAACAAAGGATACTGGAAGTTAATACAATTTACTATCACACATATTGGGAAATTTAATTAACTATATATTATTTGAAGCCAATTTGCAGCGACCTAATGATTTCAGATGAGGTTTATTTAATGCAAAGATTTCAATATTAAGGACATATTAGTTGGTTCAAAGTATCACTGTACAGATGTAGGACTGAAAGACAAGCTTGTTAATGGAGTAATATACATACATTTTTGTTTGACAAGTACATATTTTCTTGTCTGTTTTCAGCTATGACCTCCATCTAAGAGCCAAAGTCACTCCAAAAACCAGAGAGAAACTCCACATCTGTTCACAGCTGCATCACTCCCAAATCAAAAAGGCATTTTATCTGTTTAACCTCCCTCAATCTCTGATAGTACCGTGTGCAGCTTTGAGTCATGAGCAAACTCCTGAATGCGATAAAGGTACATGTGAACGTGATTACAGAGTCACCTTCACGATGGACTAAACATAGAGCCAGTAGAGCTAGGACCCTCGCTGTACTGTAGCCATGCTAACTAACTGAAGTCGGACTAACTGAAGTCGGACTTATGGAGGATGACGCTGTAACGTCACCTCTACAGCTTTTTATAACCATTCCGTTTTTAGATGATGCAGCCACACCGCTCCTGGAGCAGATAAAGTTGCTGTACAGTTTTTGAATATGCACCTGCCTCCCCTCAGCCTTCACCTGAACTAGTTACATTGCTGTTCAGCCGTGAGCCGCACTGTGGTGGCCCTGCTGCATTATGGGACATCTGGACGAAGACAATGGATGAAGATAATCAGCTGCTGGCCGCGCTGGCCACTTTTCACAGAGCATTGAAGAAATACTCCCTAATGAACTAAGTGCTCCAACTGTAATTATAATTGAAAATTGAAAACAAGTTTTGTTTGTGTCCTAAATGTTCTAAAGATGTATGTAGATTTCTGGTTTACTCCAAATATCTCTGTTGGTCTCTTTTAGTGATACAGTGACAGTCTTTGTTTAAACCCCATTGAAACAAACCTGATTGATGACTGGGAAACTACGGTAACTGAAAACAACTTTCATCAAAGCCTTATTATGATGTGAAACCAGAACAAAACCTTTGGTACTATGTACCACTAATGTTTTCTGACATGTATGTGTACTTAATCTATAATATATTTAAGATGTGTATGATTTAAATACATATATTGTAAAATGTGTGTTTTGTTTTTATTGACATTTGTCACTGCTTAGACACGCAATTCTTTGTTTGGCCAAAGGGGAGCAGTGTTGTCCACTTTCACGTGCTTGAGTCGCACAAGACATACTGGCCAAAACAATAGAAACGCTGCAAGAAAAGGAGAATATAAACTTATATGTGCGGTTATGTCCATGGAAATATTCTGAATTATTTTGAGCGTAATGTTTATTTTACTACCAACCAAGATTGCCTTTGCACGTTTTCTCTGCAGCAGGCTGCAAGGAGAAAGCACGCCCCAGTGCTCAAAGTCATTTTCAGTATACTCCTCTAATTATGTGCGTGTTTGACAGACCAAATACGATTGGCACAACATGTAATGCTCATTAAAAATGTAAGACGCTATTCGAAGTGGATGCTAAATGTCAAAGTTGTGGAGTTTACGGAATACCGGAAACACATGTTTTTGGATTTTGAGAAGTGAGGTGCTTTATTTTGACATAAATAACCACGCAATTTACTTGGTGGAGATTCACAGAGGTGTGCGTCCATATGACCAGATATTTAATCATTTTTCCAACACCCTGCGCAATTATTCTATCCCCACTGCGCTTTTATTATGAAAGTCCAGAGCGGAATTATGTGTGATTCTCTTTAACTTGCGGGCCGCAGCCTGAGCCGCTCTAATTGTGGAGGCAAAGTGCAGTCAGTGCTCACAGTGCACACCGGGGCTGAGTCTGAGGAGCAACGGGACACGCGCCTCTCTGCTGGAGGAGCGGCGCTACTCTGAAAGCGCTCGGACGCACGCATTGCTATGACAACTGCGCATCCACTTTTGGGTGTGACAAATTTCTTTGGCGTATGTGTCAGATTTGGCCTCATCACAGCTCGAGTGAAGGCGCGGATGATTTAAAGCTGTCATTTCTCAGCACGGCTCGGGACGATTTAACTATATTCTCTCTGCACATGTTTTGGACTCTGATGTGGACCCACGGAGGAATGCGCACTCGCTCCTGGCCACGGGCTGAACTTCAAGTGTTGAAGGTGTGAACTCCAAATGCATCCACTCCTCAGCCGGGAGAAGAAAGAAGAAGAAGAAGAAGACGAAGAAGAAGTGGGTTTTGGGGTCGGTTTTTTGCCCCACGCCGCGACCATGTTTAGCTGCGTGGGATGTTTTTGGGTGCTCCTGTCCTCTGCTCTTGTCGCGGTGTGTAGTTTTAGCTTCATCTCACCCGCGTGGATAGTGAAGGAGCAGCTGAGGAACAACCACCACCCTCAACACCACGGACACACTAACAAGGACTCAGTGAGCTTTGGGCTGCTGTGGCACTGCTCGGAGTCCCTGGATCACATGTACAGATGCTACACCTTTGGAGGATTGGGAAAATTCGCGGAAATTCCCTCCAGCTCCTGGCAGGTACTGGACCCACAGAATTCATACAGGCTATATAAGTTTATTTTGTAATGAGCGTAAAGTGAAAGATACCATAAGGAATAAAAAATGGTGTTGGCATTCATACTCTCAAGTGAATACTTCGTTAAAAGCACAAAAATACAGTAAAATACAACATTTATTGAAAAAAAAAAAAAAGCCGTCTTAAAGCTATTGTTCATTCGCTTTATGGCCTGAGAATATAATATAAGACACAGAACAGCCATGCACGTGTATTTTATTGCTGTAGACCATCTTCTATTGGTTGCAGTTTTTTTTTTAGTTGCTTGAAGTCTTGCTGATGGAGCTTGGTACTATGAGGTGCGTTTGGCAGAGCAGTTGGTGCTTCACCTTATGACAAGAAGGTCCCTGTTTCAAATCTCAGGCCTTGTGGGTTTGTTTGGGTACACTGGCCTCATGGATCTATGGAAATACTCAAAAAACAAAAGTATAGTTGCCCAGTTACTCCAGTTCTCTCTCACCATTGCTTCATTTTAGTTCTGGCTATGAATGTCTGGATTTGTTCTGGATTTTGTCCTTTTGTCTTTATTGGTATAAGCCAACTAGTGCTATTATTTTTTATTTACTTGTCTGTTTTTGCTTGTGTTTAAAGGTGCACTATGTCACTTTTTTGGTGGATGGTCTGCTACCTGCTGGTCACCATGGAGATGTTAATGGTTTGCTTGTTATGTTCCACAGTATGGCATCAAACTTTCAGTTGATTTGATGGTGCAAAAATAGCTTGAAAAACATCCGATCATACAGTGAGCAGGGTCACCTCTCTACAGATCTAAATTGTAACTTGGCCTGGTGGTGTCACTTGATTGTCTCCTTGGAGACAGATGAGGTTAAGTGCTTACTGTGGAACCTTACAGGCAAAGCAATAATATTTGCATGGTGACAAGAAGATGGTTGAAAATTTGCATAGTCCACCTTTAAAAAGCCTTAAAGGCGTACATGTAACTTTTTGGCTGGGGGTCCATCACCTGCCTGTTTCTGTGGATATATCACTTCTCTGCCTGGAATGTTCCACAGTATGACATTAAACAGCTGTACCTTATAGTTATTTAATAGGTGGTTTTATAGCTCAAAAATACCTAGAAAAACAGGCACTCTGATTGTGAGCAGGGTTGCCTCTCCACAGATCTGACCTGTAACTTGATCTGGTTGGATCTCTATGAAAATATAAAGATTTATTACCGCACTATGAAAGATTTCAGACAAAACAACAACATCTCCATGGAGAAAAGCATTTGATGGACATTCCACCAGAAAAGTTACACAAAGCATCTTTAAAGCCCAGTATGTTTCCTTGGCGTAAATAGTATGGGAACCTTCTAGAATCCACTAGTGTTCACCTTCACGAATCATTAGTAAACATGTGTAAATGACGAGAGCCTGAGCTGATATTGGGGCTTGTTTTGACAAATGGCTGTAGCTCAGTGCTTTGTCACAGTATGATAAATCTTTATAGCCTCATTCACGCTGCACGCCCCATACATGACACGCTAAAATGCTACACGATCTCCCTCTGATTCTGACGCCTTCCCTTTTTGGATTTTTGGGTTGGTTTTGTGATGTTGATTTCAGTCAGGAGCTGATTCATTGATGTGAGGGTGCAGCATACAGAGAGGCATCTGCAGCACAGCACGCTAGACACACATCAAAGCCGTTAAAGTGGCACAGAGTTGGCAGCTTTTTAGTGATCGAGTCTCCCCAACAGTGCCAGTTTCAATTTGCCATGTCGCGCTTTAATTGAACTCTGTTTGAGCTGGTGTCTGACCATTGCACATACAAGTAAACAGCAACTAGCCACTAAAGGGTATTGAAGCAGTCATGTCTGGCCTGTTGATAGTAACCTTATTGTTGTAGGTCAAAGACACACTGAATATTAATTTTAAATTTTCAAACTCAATTTTGATTGAGGGTGTGCTAAAATATAAAAATTATGATATATCATAATATTAAATTTGGTGATACAATAGCGTTATCATGGGCTACTGTATCGATATAACGCCATAAGTATTTTTTGTTGTATTCATTATTTAGTAACTACAATTTTGCTACAATTTTGAGTTTGTTCATAGTAAGGACGCTTTATTGATTTTTTTATGTATTGATATAATAATATTGTATTGTGCTACAAAGGATATGGAGGACCCTGTGATTCCCTGCCCTAATTTTGATACTAGATTAGACTTGATATGCGATACTGATTTAGATACTCAGATGATCATTTCAAAAGCTTTTTTACACAATACTGTAATTTTCAACACAAAATAATCTTTATTAAATCACATGGTCTTACACTAGTTCTGATAAAACTCAAGATGAAACTGTTCAGGATAGGTCAAATCTTATGTAATTATATGATTTTTCTTCTGTATCAATACATGCTTAAATGAGTATCTAGTTCAGTACTAGTTTTAGTGTCAATTAAAATCTGATTTTTGATGCTTTTAGCAACCATAATGTCCTGTAAGATGTAAATAATTTTAGCTATGCAGGCAAGAAGTATACAACTAATTATATATATTAATGTCACTATTATTGAGTAGACTTTCTGGTAATACTTATTTCTATACATTTTCAACATGTACTTGTACATTTTGCAGTACATATACTACTAGTATTTTACTTTAGAGTGTAATTCTAGCCATGCAGATGTAATCATAGCATCTAAATCATAGAGGAGTTACTGAGTTATTTGGCAGCAGTTACTTTTTTTGAATTGTTTTTGAGTACGGTACTTTAAAAAAAAAAAATTTATTGTACTTTTACTTGATGTATGTATTATGTATTACTGCTGTCAGTACTCCTACATGGTCCAGTTTCTGTCAAAAATAAAAGTACTTCTTATTTGACACACTTAAGTGATTGTATAAGCTTGTTAGAACCTTGTTAAAAGAACTTAATCTTGAATCCTCCAACTTAGTCCATTACAAATCTATAAAGCCTGCTACACTGTTGCAGCAACAACTGGAGTTATGATTTATGCATGAAACCCAATTAGCATTTCAAAGGGTGATATTAATAAATGGTGGCTTGTGTGAATGTAGAGGCTGTAGATATGAGTCATTTTTTCACACACATGCGCAGGTGTGATAGGGCCACAACGCTTTGCTGTGTTTGTAAATGCTCTGTCAATGCTGCTTCTCCAAACACTTATCCATAGGTTTCATAATGATTCAAAATAAGCACAGTTGCCATAGCAGCTAACAAAATATAGAATCTATCTTTGCAATGGTCTTCATGGTCTTCAAGTGGTGCCTATAAATGAGAAGCTAAAAGCACATGAACATCGTAGCGATGTTACTACTTTGCCTGGAATAGTCCACAGTATGGCATTAAACTAATCGTTCTTGCATTTATTCAATTACAGGTGTATATTGCTAAGAGACACTTAAAAAACATGCATACTTAGTACTGTATGCTGGGCCGCCTCTCTGCAGTTCTGACCTGTGCCTTGATTTGATGGTGTTACTTATTTCCTTTAAAAACTGATATGTTTACACTTCCACGCAGTCATTGGAGGACCAGAAAAGAGACTATAGAGCCCCTTTAACTGAGCTCTGCCCCCAGTTCCTCAGTCCTCTGGTTCTGGTGAATACCTTCTCACTCTAAATCTCGTAGAGCACCTATGGTGCATTACGTTTGGAACTTTCTGATACTACAGGATGGACCCCATAACCCTCAGGAGCTCAGGGATGCTCTTGTTCAGATTTGGGGGGAGATAAAAAGGAAAGCATCTGTCATAATATCATTGTGAACATGCTCTGATTTTGTGAAGCATACTTTAAACCAGAGGCCTCAAACTTGCAGCCCGTGGGCCAAATGAGGCACCCGAGATAATTTCTACTGGCCCACAAGACGAGAGAGAGGGGCAGACAGAGTGAAAGGGGCAGACCCAGAGTGTGAGAGAGGCAGACAGACTGTGAGAGGGGCAGACAGACAGTGAGGGGGCAGACAGAATGTGAGAGGCGCAGACAGTGAGAGTGGCAGACAGAGTGTGAGAGGGGCAGACAGAGGGTGAGAGGGGCAGACAGAGGGTGAGAGGGGCAGACAGAGGGTGAGAGGGGCAGACAGAGGGTGAGAGGGGCAGACAGAGGGTGAGAGGGGCAGACAGAGTGTGAGAGTGGCAGACAGAGTGTGAGAGGGGCAGATAGAGGGTGAGAGGGGCAGACAGAGTGTGAGAGGGGCAGACAGAGGTGAGAGGGCAGACAGAGTGAGAGGGCAGACAGAGTGTGAGAGTGGCAGACAGAGTGTGAGAGGGCAGATAGAGGGTGAGAGGGCAGACAGAGTGTGAGAGAGGCAGACAGTGTGAGAGGCAGACAGAGTGTGAGAGTGGCAGACAGAGTGTGAGAGGGCAGACAGAGTGTGAGAGTGGCAGACAGAGTGTGAGAGGGCAGACAGAGTGTGAGAGGGCAGACAGAGTGAGAGTGCAGACAGAGTGTGAGAGGCAGACAGAGTGTGAGAGGGGCAGACAGAGTGAGAGCAGAGTGAGAGAGGCAGACAGAGTGTGAGAGGGCAGACAGAGTGTGAGAGGGGCAGACAGAGTGTGAGAGGGGCAGACAGAGGGTGAGAGGGGCAGACAGAGTGTGAGAGAGGCAGACAGAGTGTGAGCAGAGAGGGTGAGAGGGCAGAGTGTGAGAGAGGCAGACAGAGTGTGAGAGAGGCAGACAGAGTGTGAGAGTGGCAGACAGAGTGTGAGAGTGGCAGACAGAGTGTGAGAGAGGCAGACAGAGTGTGAGAGTGGCAGACAGAGTGTGAGAGTGGCAGACAGAGTGTGAGAGTGGCAGACAGAGTGTGAGAGTGCAGACAGAGTGAGAGGGCAGACAGAGTGTGAGAGGCAGACAGAGTGCAGAGAGGGGCAGACAGAGTGTGAGAGAGGCAGACAGAGTGTGAGAGTGGCAGACAGAGTGTGAGAGGGGCAGACAGTGAGAGGGGCAGACAGAGTGAGAGGGGCAGACCCAGAGTGTGAGAGG